CTTGGATCCTGATTGGTTAGTTGGGTCAGCAGTTGTACATAGACACTGTAAATGGACAATATTGTGTTAATTTAAAATGCAATGTGTGACCAATAATGAATAATGTTTTTTTTTTTATTATTAAGTTCATTTATAACTATTATAGTTTATTATTAACAGCTTCCCAACCCTTAAAAAACACAGACTAACACGACTTGAAAGTTCTGTGAAAGTGCTTGAATTGCACTCTTACAATCTGTACAAACCCTGTGTCCAGCTTGTTCTTGATTTCTGATAACTGTTCATGTTAATCTGAATCTGCAACTTTAAAAACCCAAGGTTTCTTATATGTAAGGATGGGGGCCTACATAGACAAAAGGTTGGGAGCCACTGATCTACACAGAGGAACAACCCACTCTCCAAAATGACCTCAAAATGATTCATTACTGTATGCAGTCACTCTGGGCAGATATTTTCATTGCTGTGATTATTCAGTGCCGCTCAGAGACAGATCAGATATATGGACGGAGATGCCGTTATTGGATCGGCTCTCACATGCTTATGAGGGAGAGACGATATATGAGAACTGCAGTGGATCATCACCCAGCGGCAGCTGGAGAATGGGCTGCTTTATGCATGGAGACATCAGGAAGCTCTCTGAACTCCTTCGATTGATGTTAGGGAGCTTGTAGGAGGAGGCTTAATGCAGAATTTTTTGGAATTAATGTTGTTATGCATGTCCCACATTAATGCACCAGGGCCTAAATGGACCTCCAACATTTGTTCCCCTTGTCTATATAGGCATCTACCTTCCTAGGCAGCATCCAAATCGAAATGGAACCTCATAAATGACTGTCACCCATGCACACCTCACAACTAACACTTTTCAATTAAGGTTAAGCCCGAAGCATACTTTGATTTTTACGCATATGCATATTTATGCATACAGCCCATCTGCTTCAGGGTTCGACGTGTTGTGCGTTCAGAGATGGTATTCTGCATACCTTGGTTGTAACTAGGGCTGTGCGATTTGGGGGAAAATATCAAATTGCGATTTTTTTGACAGATATTGCGATTGCGATTTGATTTGCGATTTTAAATTTGCAAAGTCAAGCTTCAGCTCAATATTGTCAATAATGTGCAGCACAGTATGGGTATCATTACCCTGCTGAAAAAAACAATAGAAACCATCACAGAAATTCTTATAGTTTCCATTAAACCATTACAAAATTCCTTTTTGTTTTGGGCATTATTCCAAAATGAATTACTGTTGTTCTATTGGTTGCCATCTGCCAGATTACATCCCACCAATAGAATCCATCAAATAGACACCATTATAGTTTACATTAAAACCAATACAATTCCCATTATAACCCTGAAATCCATTAAATTTGTAATTGTGTTTTGGGAGGGGTTCTATGGGTTTTTTTTTCAGCAGGCAAGATTATAATGGTATAACTACTTTTACAGAATTAACTTAATTACTGAATTTCACAGAAAATATTTGTTTATTTTTTATAAATAAAGAACTGTATTTCTTAAGTCAATTATTAAAGTACTACATGTTACATAGGCTGATTTATTCATTTTAAGTATTTGGGATTTTAAGAACAAGTGGAAAATGTGCTGAATGTTTCATTTCATCCAAGTGAAATTAGCAAGCAGTTAGACTGAATTTACATTCGTTTTAAACGCGGAGCCAGGCGCGAGTCGACACAGGTTGCGCGCGTGCGTCAAGCCTCATCCATACTGCCAGATGCGCTCGTGAAGACTTGCGGTGCGGAGCCGGGTGCGAGTATAAACGAGCATTACGAGCAGTGTTGGGCAAGTTACTTCCAAAATGTAATACATTATATATTACTAGTTACTGT